ATGCTGCTGTGCTAAGCAGGAAACTGAAGCCATCTGGCCCGCTTGTCTCCTTCCAGGTAGAACCTATGGAGTGTGGCAAGCCAGTCCTCTGGCAGTAGCTGCTGCTTGGAACTACCTGATGAATGGCACACATAGGTCAGCGAGGCGAGGCAGGAGGTGGCCAGTGCCCTGGCAAGCAGTGTACCCTTTCTGAAGTGAGAAGTAGCAGGAAATCAAAACCATCAGAAAGAAAGCTGTGGTGCTGTAGGCGGTTTGGCATTTTAAAGGACATAAATCAGAAATGATTTGTCCTAGCTGGGTGGTTGCACACACCTGTATTTCTAGTGGGTCAGGAGGATTGCAAGTTTGAGGTTAGTGTGAGCAACTTAGCTTAGCAAGATCCTGTTTCAAAAAATAAAGAAGGGCAGGGGCTATTGCTCAGTGTGAAGGCCCTAGGTTCGGTTCTCAGCATTGCAAAAAAAAAAAAAAAAAGACTTGTCCCAAAGAACAAAGGGCTGATTTAAAGAACTACTGACTAGAATGAGAGATTATCATTTGTAATTTAAATTGTGCTTGGCAACTTTCTTTCCATCTATTGATCTTAATACATCACTCCCCACCTCCCCCAACCCCCAGGGCTAGGAGAAACTACTGTAACCTAATTAAGAGCAAACACTTAAGCACTGCCAGATGTACTTTCGTATCTGCCACTGCAAACACATGTAAATGGGATGGGGGTGATCTTTAAACGTGGATAAGTAACATAAAAACATAGATGGTAGCCTGTGTCATTAGTCTTCTACAGGAATCTGGTCTTCAGAAAAGAGAGGCTTGTATACATGGGACTTTGAGGAAGCCTTCCTCACAGTTGTGTAGTGGCTTTTAGTATGCTCTTTGCTCATACACATTTACCTTAATGTTTAAGACATTAAAGAGGAATTGGCAGTGTTTCTGTATAATTCTGTTTTGTATGACACATCGAATAGTATTAGAGAAGGAATAGTAAGGTAAAATAAAATGTTCTTGTAATCGAGTTTTTTGGTACTGAGAAGTGCTCCTAGATTCAGCATTAGGAAGCAATTCTCTTTAATAAGTTACTAGAAATCTTGAGTGCAGTCCATGCTGTGCAACTGGGATCAGAGTGCTAGGTGCAGGCGCCGGCTCCACTGTGGGCAGCTCTGCAGAGAATGGTTAATCCGCCATTGCTCGGTTTCCTTTTTGCCTGCAAGCAGCAGGAGGATAACAGTGTGCATCTCACACAGGAGCTGTGAGCATTCAGAGAGATGAACCACACAAAGTGTGGGGCACACAGTGGCTGTGCTGTAATTATTATGTCAAAGTTAATACATCATTCTTTTTGGTAGCAGCAAGTGTTACCTTGGTACTGTATAAGGAAAGCTACGCTTTGGTCATCTTCATTCTCGGTTTTTCCTACATTTTTTTCTGTTTTTACTTTCCTTTGGGAAAAAAATGAGAACAGTGGTGGTGATGACCAGAAAAGGGGACCAAGAATATAATGCTCTGTACAGATTTACAGTGGTTTCTAACATCTAGTTATGTGGGTTTCTTGTGCCTTTGTCAGAACTGATTGTTTTAAAATATGTTTTCAGTTGCCAAAATTTCCATGATTTATGATAGCTTGAATATTTGGTATTTGGTTCCAGAAAACAAGTAAGTCTTTTCAAGTGCCACAGCATCACTTGTACTACTCAGAATATTTGAAACCTACTTTAGAGATACAGCTTTTTAATATTTCAGTTTTCAAAGGCATCTGGTCTTTATTTAACCATCACATTTACATCCAGTTCCTGCAGGCATGGTTTTGTTGTTCAAGCTTGGCTTGATGCCCTCTGAGGAAAGCCTCTGCTTTAATAAACATAAAGTAACTCCACTAAAACTGCTGGAGTCCCCTGATCCTCCGTAGTGCCACCACTGTACAACAGCACAAAAAAATTTCAGCTTGAGTTTTAAAGATATAGAAAATACAATCAGTGGCGGGGGGCATTGTTATGACATATTTGACTTATTGCCCTTAGATTATTTCGCAGAACTGTTTATATACTGTGCAATGTTCAGCTAGTACATACAGGAAGCTGGAAGTATTTTGTGAGATGTACACATGGTTGGTGGTAGAATTTAAGTGCAACCTGGGAAGGTTTTATCTAAATTTCAGTAGGGCAGATGAGAGAATATATTCTCTATAGTGTGTCTTTCTTTCTTTCTTTTCTTTTTTTTTTTTTTAAACACAAGGGATTATATGAACTGGAAAGCAATACCAGGTTTGGAAATTACAGTTTAAAATTTCATAAATTAAACCATCATTTCTAGACAACTAAACTTGTTTTCTTTCAGACCAAGAATCATCAGTTGTATCTATTTGTCTTCTGTGTGGTAAAAGCATTAAATGTAGGTTATTTCATTAAAAAGAAAAATAATAAATGAAGATTTCTCCCCAGATACAGGTATTATAGACCATTTTAAAAATATTTCATTTTGGATAGTTTTCAGATTAAAAAAAACAAAACTCTTGCTACTAAAATTGGAACATCATTTTTTAATCTCAACTGTTACAATATATGAAGGCAACAAAATTAATGACATAACCTCTAAATGGCACATTTCATAATTAACACTTCCAAATTTAGGTGAAGGCAGAAATATTTTTATTTCCTTCACCCCTAGTCTAAGTAGCAATGTATGTTTCTCCAAGGAGAAGTTATTTGTTGGCTCATTTTCACATTTGATCTCTAAATCGTGAGGGATAAAACACAGAAATCAGTTTTGTGTATTCATACCTGATTTAGAGTCAAGCCTGATGTGCAGAAGAACACAGTTCATTTAATTAATACAGTCTCTCAGAAGATGACTTCACTATGTATCATTTTTGCTTTACCATGTCTGCATAATTAGTCATTTTTTATTAATTAGTGTGATAAAAATGCTATAAAACTCCAGCATGCCTTGGTAATATTCTTATACAAATCTAGTATGGTGGAGTGTAAGAGACTGAAATTGAGAAGCCATGGATTCTTGAGAATTTGGGGGATTTGAGGAGAGTTGACTTTCCTCTTTAGGCCCTGTATTTTTTCATCTATGAAATGAGTGACTGTTTCCAATGCTAAGATCATCTTCTATTTTAACTATGATTCTACATGATATTTTAGTCTTGAGAATTTATTGAAGTCACATTTTCTGAAACTTTCTTTCTGTAAATTTTATTTTTACACTCATTGCTTAGTGAAATTTTAGTTCACTTCAGATTTAGTCTTGTGGAAAGGGAAGAGAAAGAACTTAAGTGTGGAAAAGAAAGAAAAATAGTATCGAGCAATTATGGGGACAGCTAGGCTGGTTCAGGACAGACATAAATGACCTTTTTAAATTCTAAATTCAGCTTTCTGGCTTATGATGAAAAGTGAAAGGTTACTATATGAACTTACTGGGCAAAAGCAGGTTTTATAAATAATTACCTGTCAGACTGTTCAGGATAGACAAACATACACCAGACCAGCAAAAACACAGACCTGTCATATTTCTGAGAAATGTACATTGAGTCTTCCTTCTCTGGGACTATAAGGAGATCAGGTAGAATAAAATGAAGGGAAAAAACTAAACCCTATATTTTTTGCCTTGTGGATACTTTAAAAAATATAATGTGGGAGAGAAAGAATTTCAATGTGGAAAAATTACCCCTGAAAATTTTATATGTTCTATAAGCATGGCAGATCAAAACCAAATACAGTGTATGCTGTTGTTTTAAAAGTTGGGACGTTTACTGCAGGCTTACAATTTTCATGATTAGGGGTGCCAAGGAAAATAAGAATGATGATAAAAAGTTTAATCATCCACTTCAGCAAGCGCAGATAGAACATCAAAATTCTTTGGATATTTTTGATATTATATATGTGTTTTTGTTTCTGACATGTAGATTTTTTTCCCCACAAGGTTCAACAAAACAGTTTAACAGATGCAAGTGAATAACGTAGCACAATCCTATTGATGCTCAATGATTTGGTCACAAAGAAACCTTCATGCTTCTCATTTCTGCTTTTATGAATTCCTTATAAAGGCTTTCTTTGAGTACAAAAACCATGATTGTGGAAAGGGAAGAGAAAGAACTTAAGTGTGGAAAAGAAAGAAAAATAGTATTGAGCAATTATATAAATTATATAAAACTTCGAGAATTAATTAACTTCCTTCTTTCCAATTCATGTTTAATTAGGAATTGTACAACTATACCTGCTATATTTTGGTTTGTTCTCAGGAGTTACAATTCCTCATTTGCTATGGAGAATATAGATGTTGGAGAGAGAGCAGCTGCTCTCATCAAGTGCTTCCCTTCACTGGCTGGTGAAGGGAAAGGGCAAGTCCCTCTTCCCCCTTTTCATTATTCTCACTGCTGCTAAAAGGCATGGAGTGAGTGGGAAGGTAGGTATGGGTAGAGCATGCAGGAAGGAGTCTTATATGAGGAGAAACACAAAGGAGTCTTATACGAGGAGAAAAACATGATTGGCAGGAAGTTGGGAAAAAGGCAAGTGGGGTGATGGGAAGAAGGGCGGGGACTGGTGGCCCATGAAGTTAAGTTAGATCTTTGATTAGTAAAAGTTTATAAAATGAATTATGTCTACATTTATTTTAGGGACAACTATTCAACACATGTTGGGATGTAAAGGTGGTGGTATAGTGTAGTCAGAGAAGATTGTCCTTTTTAATTTTGTCTTCTTTGACCCCAACCTGAATTATAAAATATATCAAATAAAATTCGAGACTAAACACCGAGGGGGGGGTACTTAAGATATGTGAGCTGAGGGAAACAAATCCATGCCAAGTTAAGATCCGCATTCTTGTCCACCTACGCACTGTCCCAAACATCCTGCCATTAATTAGCTAAATAGTCCATCTAGTAAATAAGACTAAATGCTGAGGGGGCTGGAAAAGAGCAGGAGTCACATCAAACCAGTCCACTCCCTAGGATGTGAAGAAGGTGAACTTTTATCTTGTACAGGAGGGGGAAAAGAAATCACCTCAGTGTAACACTGCCTTTCCTGTTGTTGCAGACACAGTTGCATTAGCAGGCTAGAAAAGTCATCCCATTCCTGCGGTAGGCACTCTGTCAAAGAAAAAGAAATCTGCAGTGAATTATCACATCAAGTCAAACAAGGAAAGGAGGCAAAAAGCAAACTGAGCTCTCTTTCTCATTTGTAGACTCCTGGCTACAATCTAATAGGGTGCTTAATATGAATAGTTCTGGTGGGAAAGTTATAGCAACCATTCTATTAAAAGTCAGTGTGGTTGACAAGTGGTTAGTGATTTTATTTTTGGGATGTGGGAGATAGGCAAAATAAGACATCCAATTTTGTTAATTGATTGGTTAAGCCAAAGAGACATTGTGTTGAATCTGTTGTCTTTTATAAACATGTGTTCTGTGTTCAGCATGCTCCAGAATCACTTCTAAGTATCTAATAGTCTATAAATTACTGACTCATAGATTTTCCAGTCCTAATTTATAGTCTCAACAGACAGAGCCCTTTCCTCTCTAAAATATGATTTCAAAGGAATTCTGCACATTATGGACAGTAAGGAAAATTAAGCTGACTCATAATTTGATATACATACATGTGCATGTTGGCATACATATGGCCATGTATGTGGGATAAACTTTCTCAAAATTGATACTAATTGTAAAAATACAATATATCACAGTTAATAACATAGAAACTGCATGCTATTGCTTGTGAGAGAGATTTGACATTTCGGAATTAGACCTGGGCAACACAGGGTTTATTACTTACCCTGAATCTTATTTTGCTCTAAAATAGAGCAGAACTAAAATCCAGTATTTAGGATAAAATTCCCCTTTCAGAGGCATACTTTGCATTATTTCAACTCATTACAGTCCATTCAGAGTTTTGAGAATCCTCAATGAATTTTGCTATAATCCATCTTCAGGAAAATGGAGAAAGTTATAAAATCTCATTAACCTCCTGTTCTGCCCCCGTAATTCTGAGCTGTTCTGGAGTTTTTGCACTTTCAACTCAACAAATTTATTGTCAGTGGCTATTTTTATTTAATAAAGAGTATTCAGTGACAGACAGCTGAATAAAGGTAGCATGCACAACTCTGCCATAGAGAAGAACCAGGGTAACAAAGGAAAAATGATTTGGAGAAGAGTTACAAGGGAAGAATTCTGGAAGTGAGCAGCAACTATCGGACACCCTATGCAGCAGGGCAAGTAAGAAAGGAAAGCTAGAGAAAAGGACAAAGCAAATTGTGGCTTCAGCCCTGGCAGGGGATATATATCCCCTACGGGGAAAAAGCAGGCAGCACAGTACCAGCAGTCTTAACCACATGAGACGACATGGTTCTCACAAGGCTTAAATCCAGTTGGGGTGTAGAAGAACTTTTGTGTTCAAACTGTTTCAAAACCCAAATATGTCAATAGTCTGCAGTTTTTCTTCTGCTTCTGTATAAACAGGTTTGTACCAGAGGAACAAGCTGTACCTGGCCTGTTTTTGTTTCCAGTTTGTTCCCATATTTGTAAAGTTGGACTCACCCAAAAAACCCCTGCCTGATAAGTGGTATAAAAGTAACTTCCTACACTAGCTTGGGGGCTCAGACAGGAGTAAGCAGCTCCTCTGAGCCTGCTTGCATAATAAAGCTTGGTTCCCTCCACTTCTCCGAGTGCTGCTTGGTTTCTTTGCCTCCAGTAAACCTAAAATTGCTGTAATATTTTTTCCCTGACTGGGAAACCAACTGAGCTGGCCCCTTGAGCCACCTTCTCAGAGTTGTGGGGAGCACCTGCCTGGTCCCCTCCTCAGAGAACAAGGTAATGTACCTCTTGCACAATTGGTGAGACCTTCCAGGGAGGACAGGCCTGGCAGGTGCTCAGACTCTCTGACTAGACTTGGTGGAGAAATGGACTGGTTCCCTGTTGGGACTTCTAGACAAGGTAAGGCCCCCAGGTGCCCATCCCCACAAATAGGAGAGGAGACTGATCCCCTCTCAAGGTCTCATACTAGAGACTCCAGTCAGGGACTTCAATAAGTGGGGATGAATGTTATGACTTCTGAGTGATTGTGTAAGTGAATGTGCATATATCTGTGCTGCATGATGCAAGCTACAGAGTCTAAGTGGGCTCTACCCTATGTTTCCATGTGAGTGTCATACAGCATAATGGTGATTTGACCAGGCCTGGGTTTATATGGGTACACTGTTGCTACTGTTATTGCTGATAGTACCACTTTATCCAAAAGTGACATAACTGTTCTAAACAGCTGCTCTTCCTGGTATTCCAAGACTGAGATTGACTAAGGGTCACACAAAATACTGTAGTACAGTGCCAAAGAACCAGGAGCTGGGACAAACAGGCAGCAACTTCTCATCCCCAACAAATTGAAGAAGTAGGATCTTGCAACAGACTCAAAACCCAAAAACTAGTTACATCTGGAAGATAACCTCAGAGAAGTAGTCATTTCCTGAGGGTCCTAAATACTAGCAATAAAGCAACCAACCACAGGCAATTTGCAGGTATCACCCTACGAATTAAACAAGAAAAGAAAATGAGAAGACATTTAAACAAGATGCAACCCCAGACATCCAGTTCACCAAAGGCAAACCCGGGGGCAATGAGATGGGACAGTCCAAAAGCCAACCACCTGACCGCTCTGAAGTGGTAACAACAAAGCAATTGAATGAGGCTCTAGAAAAAAATCAAATCAGAAATAATTTCTCAGATAACTGTAGAGATGATGTTCACAATGAAAACTGTGCTTAGTGACTATACTGCAGATAACAGATAAAAACACAGAGGAGCTTAAGAAAATTATGGAAGCAATAAGTGCTCAGCATAGGAAAGAAATGGAATCCATAAGGGGGATTCAAGGAGATAACTAGGAGAACAAAAATTCCATTGAAAGAGTCTGCAGATTAAGCCAGTGTGAGGACAGGATCTCAGATATAGAAGACAGGCTTGTGGTTAGTAATTATGAAAAGAAAGATTTCTTAAAAATAGCAAAGGATTATGAGAAATCAATCCAGCAGATGCCAGATGAGGCAAAGAGGAATAACATAAGATTGATTGGAGTCAATGAAAAAGCACGAGATAGCACAAATGATACAACACTGTTCACAGATGACACGGCAGAAAACTTCCCTGGTAAGGAAAAAGAATTTGACATACAGATAAGTGAGGCATATAAAACACCAATTAGCCACAATTAAAAAAAAAAAAACTACAGCCAGGCCTATCATAGTCAAGATTCCACAAATTCAACACAAGAATAGAATCTTAAAAGCTGTTAGAGAAAAAAAACAAATCACCTCTAAGGGAAAGCCCATCAGAATCACAGCTGACTCCTCAGCACAAACCCTCAAGTCAAGAACAGCTTGGAGGGAAGTATTTCAAATTCTAAAGGGGGAAAAAAAAAAACCTTCAACCCAGATTGATGTATCTTGCAAAACTATCTTTCAAAACTGATGGTTAAATAGGATACTTCTATGACAAGGAACATCTGAGGAAATTTATGACCACCAAACTAGCATTCCAGAATGTTTCAAAGGACATGTTAAAAAGAGATAACAAGGACTACAACTCCATGAACCCTAACAGAAGGAATCCACCAGGCAAGACAAACAGGGAGGGAAAAAGCAGGATGGGGGGAGTCAACAGGAAAATCACATGACAAGGATAAGTCAGTATATATCAGTTATAACCATCAATGTTAATGGTCTCAATTCACCAATTAAACAGACTGGCAGAATGGATCAAGAAGCAAAATTACCAGATATAAGCATGCAAAACTGGTCAAAAAATTAAGAATTAACTGTTCCTTTTAATAAACCAGTAGAAATTAGTATTTTCCTTTCCTTCCTTTCTTCCTTTTCATCCTCCTTTCCCTTACTCCAGTTGTTCTTTCAAGCATTTTCTTTCCCTTTCACAAAAAAGCAAGATCCAAAAATATGCTGCATAGAAGAAACACATTTAATTAAAAAAGAACTTCATAGACTGAAAGTCAAAGGATGGAAAACAATACTCCATGTCATAGGAATCCAGAAAAAAGCAGGGGTAGCTATTCTATTTGTAGACAAAGTGAATTTCAAGCAAAGACAGATTAAGAGACAAAGGTCACTACATTCTTGAAAAGGGAATAATCCAAAAGGAGATATAACAGCCATAAATATATATGTACCCAACTATATACAACATATTAATGGGTATGAAAAATCAAATAAGCACTAATACAATTGTATTGGAGATCTCAATATCCCACTGTCACAAAAAGACAGATCAACTAGACAAAAAAATCAACAATGAAGTACTAGAACTGAACCAAACTTTAGAACATATGAACTTAGTAGATGTCTACAGAGTGTTCCACCCCACATCAGAATACACATTCTTCTCAGCTGCATGCAGGATGTTCTTCAGAATACACCACATACAAGCTCATAGAACATGCTTAAGTAAATGCAAAGGAAGTGAAATTATCCCATGCATATTATCAGACCATAGTGCAATAAAATTGGAAATGTCAAAAGAAACCACAAGAACTTCATAAACACACGGAAATTAAATAACACCCTCCTGAACAACCAGTGGGTCACAGATAAAATTAAGAAATTAGTTTCTACAATTAAATGATAACGACAATACAACATACCGGAACTTATGGGACACAATGAAAGCAGTCCTATGAGAGAAATTTATAGCCATTAATAGCAGTGTCAGGAAAGCAGAGCAAGCACAAATGAAGAACTTAACGAAGACCCTCAAATTTCTAGAAGAAGAAGAACTGGCCAAGCCAAAAGCTTGTACAAGGGAGGAAATTGTAAAGCTCAGAGCAGAAATTAACACATTGGAGACTAAGAAAACAATACAAAGAATCAATGAATTGAAGAGTTGGTTCTTTGAAAGATTAAATAAAACTGACAAACCCTTATCCAACTTTATCAAAAAAAAAAAGGAAAGAAAAGACTTAAATCCTTGTCTGTTGAGACTCTATACACAAAGTGGGGAAGCTTAGACTATGGGAGCCACAAAGAGCAAGTCAATTGTCTTAGATTAGATAGCCAAGAATTTCAAAAAGGGTTTTAATGGTGATTATGGCATAA